CTTTTTTATCCCAAATGTTGATCCAAAACCTCCAACGATTTCAGAAAAACGTCCAAACCAGGTCGATCAAGCCAAAAAATAGCATAAAGTTAGATTTTCAAAGTATTTCTTCAACATCAATGGCAGGTCCGAATTTTCAGAGATTCTTCAATCCATTTCACGTCTCGGCTCTGATACCAGTTATTAGTCCCAAAATCAATCAACAATCATACAATATAATAGAAGCAGAGAATCACACAATGATTTAACAATATTTGAACGAAGAACTCCCTCTTCCTTATACCGTGAAGGCCTTACAAAATGATATGTGCGTTGATGTACGTAGAGGCTTGTGAGAGTTAGGGTTTGCTTAAGTTAGCATCGTTTTATACATAAGGATGTCTAACTTAAGGCTTACAAGTGGGCTCATGGGCTGAAATACATTTGTGATCCATATTACACATTTAATTAATAACTACACAAATACAAAGATATTTAATTTGATTGGACACCATAAAATATTCTCAACAGTTTATGAAAGGTGAGATTATTTATATAAGGTGTTCAAAGAAAAGGCAAAAAATCTGATATAGTAGATCATCAATCGATCAGAGTCCAACGAAAGAAGATGATGTGCAAATGTGAGATTATTCTTCAATTATGTAAAAGTAGTATTATTATGAGAAGACCACTCAAAGATTAGATTATTATTGTCAAATTTTCCCTAAAACAATCATCTTCTCTTGAACTCCCACATGTCACATAGAATGGACCTCAAAAAATAGACAATTTTTTGAACTAATATTCCTACATTTGCGCTAATGAATTAAGAGAAATTTGCTCCTAGTAGGACCAAATCATAGCTCTTTTACAAAAATAATAACTACTAATGTTTTTTCCATTCATATTACCTATTTAGTTCTAGATTAGGGAACCTATTTCTAACTTTCCAAATTTGCCCTTCAGGACTTTGCTCCCAGATTCGCCGATTGAAGTTCAACGCCTCCACCTTCTTCCTTGTTCGCTGCCCATTTTCGATTTTGCGGCCGTCGCGACAAACCACCGCCGTTGCCAGATGCCGCCACCATTGCCAGACCTCGTCGCCACCGTGCTTGTGCCGCCAAACATCGTCGCCACCTCGTCGCCATCAAACAGCTTCGCCGCCAAGGCCTCCACCATTACCGCCGGATCTTGTGTCACTGTAACTTCGTCCGGCGCCACCCATGCCGCTTCCGGCGCCATCACCTTTGATTCCACCACAACAAATCTCAGATCTGAAGAGTTTGACCACAGGAAAGAAGAAAAACGTTTATTTATTGTCTACTTATTGTCTATTTATTGTCTATTTAATGTCTGATATTTTCTAAAGGTAAGGGTATTGTGGTCAATGCAGGTGTAGTTGAGTCTTACGTGAATTTCGGTCTTAGTTTTGGAAAATCCGTACGTTTTGCTCCTATTTGTTGAAATCTCCCATGAATTAACCCATACTACGTAAATAAGGCACATATTTATACCATACGATTATTATCTAATAATTTGAAGTTTTAGCCGTGAGTTTACCTTAAAATTATGTTAAAATATTAAATAAAAGAGAGATTTACCTAAATAGGACTATAACAATGTGAAATTGCAAAAATAGGACCCCTATGTTTTATTTGACAAAAATAGGACTAAAAAGAGGTAATCTCACAAAACTACCCTTAATTAAAAAAGAGACGCACACCACCAACGCACAACCTGGCAACCTGCTATCCTTCCCCCTATGGACCGCAAAATTGAATCTCCATAGCAGCACTCATCCATCGTCGATTAGGGCCTCGCACCACAGCACCTTCTGCCGTAGCCCTGCACTCATCGGCGACCAGGTAGGTAATCTTCTTCTTCTTCTTCTTCTTCTTCTTCTTCTTCTTCTTCTTCTTCTTCTTCTTCTTCTTCTTCTTCTTCTTCTTCTTCTTCTTCTTCTTCTTCTTCTTCTTCTTCTTCTTCTTCTTCTTCTTCTTCTTCTTCTTCTTCTTCTTCTTCTTCTTCCTCCTCCTCCTAGTTCTCTGTTTTTTTTAAATTTTTTATCAATCATATACTTAAATAAAATTTTGATTTTTTAAAGTTTCAAATGAAGATATATCTGAACTTGAATATCTTGTTATCAATTTTGATTACTTTTAATCTCAAAATTCTATGATTGATGATTCCAGAAAATGTCACTTTTTGAATAAGAGAATGTCTAAATATTGGGTATTTTTACAAAATGTCACTTTTATGTCATTACAATATTTGGAAATGTCAATTAAGTGACATTCCTCATGGAGGGCAAATCCTTTGTCACTTCTATGGCATTACAATATTTGGAAGAAGAAAATGTCACTTTTATGACATTACATTTGTTTAGGTGACAATTTCAAAGAAGAAAGTGATATTTCCAGAGTAATAAAAGTGACATTTTCGAAACAAAAGTGACATTTTCAGACTGTCATTTTTGTAAATGTAATGTCACAAACGTGGCATTTTTTCTTCAAATAACCAATAATTTTGACATTCTCATAATATACAAGTGACATTTTACTCAATAAATAAAATTCAAATCCAAAAAATCCAAATTAATAAAAATCCAAAAAATTCATAAAAGAAGAAAACAGAGAACCAACAATTTGAGGAGGATTAGAAGAAGAAGAACAAGAAGAAGAAGAAGAAGAAGAAGAAGAAGAAGAAGAAAAAGAGAGGAGGATGATACCTGTGGTCGACGGTGGAGCTGCAGTGCGTGGCCATAGCCGATGTTGGAGCTGCTGTCAAGGGATGTGGGTAGCTGCTGCTACGAGATGAATTCTATCGTAGGTTGCAGAAGGGGGCCATCGATGTGTTGCGGATGTGTGTGGGCAGGGATGCATTGCAGAAGGGGGCGAGAGATTGGGGTTTTAATCGCAGGAGGGCAAAATTGTAATATGTAGTCCTATTTAAGGAATAAAAAACTTAAAGTCCTATTATGGAGTTTAATCCATGTTTTAGTCCCATTTTGGGCAATTTTTTCTAAATAAAAACAACACCCATTATACTCCGTATAAGTTTAGAGACCAAAATAATTGTGGATGTATGACGTTTTGCTAATAAGGCAAATTACTTTATCCACGTAAAACGTAATGCAATGCCCACTCATTGAAAACTTCATCTTTGGTGTTCAAATGCCTCCAAACAGAAATTGTAGGAAATAAAGAATAGCATTGACCATTGAAGTGTATGCCTTAAAAAATGTGAAGCTATATGGGATCATTTGCAATACAACAAGATTGACTAATAATTTGAGTGTTTTTAATAATATGTATCTATAAATATTTATAATCTATAAAAGAATTATGTATTAAACCATGGTCATTCCCGCAAGGCCGCAATATAAAATTTTCAAGTCCCAACCGCTTTAAAATTGTATTTCTGCCTCGCTCGAATTGACGTTTCTCATATAGTATAAAGAACAAGTTTAACCATTTTCCCTTTAATGGAGAGTAAGAATGATAACGGACTCCATACATATATGATACACACACTAAACGTTCATGAAGTTAAGATAATATTCACTACTACGTATTTGGGTAGTTATTATCCAACGAACGTATCGGTAATTATACTCGTACAGTCGTACCTAACAAATGACCAAAATAGATGGTGTATAAAAATAATTTAATAACTTTTCGTTATTATGATTATGTTGTTCAAACTTCACATCGTAATGACCATAAAACTATACTCATCACAAATTTAGTTCATACATTTTATTTTAGTAATATTTGAGAAAAAATGTCGTTGTGATTCTCAAACTATTTTGAATTAATTGATAATATATATTTTATCACATTAAAACAAATATACATGTTTATATGTAGATTTGAAGAAAAAGATAAATCTATGACACCTCATTTGGTTATATGAAGATTTTGAAAAAACAGTACTGTAGATCTTACTTGGCAATTGTCTTTTTTTAAAAAAAATATATAAAAGAGCGTCATTTATATTAATATCAAGAAAGCATACATGACGACATCCAGACAGTTACAATAGATCCAATTGTAAGACTTAGACACGAAACGAACAATTTTAAGCCTAAAAGGACTGGAGCTGAAACATTGTCTATCAAATGTACTTCAAAAATCCAACTATCCAAGATAAAACAAATGAAAACTTGTAGCGGAGGTTCGAAGATAAACTGATTATTCAAAGGATTCCGAATCAGGATAAACTGATTTTTTAAATTGAAATTGGAAATCAAAGTTCAAGACCAGGATTAAGACCAAGACCAGATAAAAACAAATCGACCTCGGGCCTCACTTTTACGGACCGGGATTGGCCGATCCCCCATGCCCCAGTTTCAGTCCCATTTCATTTTTTACATGACAAACATCAAGAAGCAGTTTAAAAGGGGTAGAGAGATAAGTTTAAAGGGTGAAAGAAGGTAGATGCGAACAAAGGGTTTTATGAAATACAAAAATACAGAGTAATAAATAAACTAGGGATGGATTAGAAGTCTAGAACCAGCGGCTAAACCGGAACAGCAAATACAAGTCCGAGTCCCGATCTTCACTATTTTTTTTGGACCAGACACTCCGAAGTCCGAACTGTGTCCATGCCTTAGCTAAAACCATCTTCCCATGAATTTTCTAGCTCACCTAACTTCTTTTATAGTCTAAGACTCTTAGAGCATAAATGTCTTAGCATGCATATTTCCATCATTAATCTCGTTTAACACATCTATCATAGCTTGTAGAGCTAGCAAGATACTGTATTACTGTTCCTACTTAAATTCGGATCTTCATAATAGATTAATAGAGCTAGTATGATATATTCCTACGTAAATTCCACACAGCCAACTTATCACATAGCCTTTCTTCACTTTCACTAACACCACCCTTCGGCATAAAACCCAGGACCTCATCTTGGCCATTCATAAATAGCTCATCTATGACCGGATGTCCGGATACAAATAGGATCAGGCACAACACCTAATTCTTGGTTGAATGAATCATTATAGGAAAATGTTATCTCAATCTAGCATTGTCACCCTCACAACTTCTAATACTTGTGTACTTATTTTTGGCCATATACTCATATCAATACATTATAAGGACACACTTCTTTATCAGACACTGAAAACTTTACATGCTACCTTACCAGAGGATATGCAAATCTGTAATTTGTAAACAAAATGTAATTCTTTTTCCTGATAATGTTCCATCAGTTGTCCTAAAAGATGTATCAGCTCTGTTACTGATCACTGATGCATAAAACTGAGCTGGCTCTCTAATACATTAATACATTTCATCACCCCTATTCTATCATCATCACTCATAACTTCTTGGATGGCTCACAGTTTTTATCATCTCCGATCATTATTTGGCTTCCCAGTTTTGTTAACATGGTTGTGCAGTCAATACCAACATTATAATGGCCTCTCCAACTTGGACCTTATACAAGAATATAAATAAATAAATAAAATGGGACATCAAAAGTAAGGTCGTAAGTCTGTGTGTGGTTCCAATGCACAGGCTCAAGCTTATTTTTTTAAAGACAATTTATGTTCTGAACCAGTGACAATCTCGCCACAAACTACCTTAGGCAACGGATTCGCCTAAGATCCAATGAAGTAGGACTTGTTTTGTGTGTGATAAAAAATAAATAGAACTGTGTCATAGAAGAAGCCTTTGAATGTCACTGAAGTTTGAGTTCAGAGCTGCAAGGAATTCCCCTGTGCAAATTTTGTATCAAGATATAAGAATTCCATGGCAATAAGAAGTGAAAATCTTAATGCAGTTAAATCAAACCTATGACAATTTTAGAAATGGAGAATGATAATTTTATTTTGTTAAAATATGCCACATCATAACGTACCCCCAACCTTCCCATCAAACACGCGATGATCAGCAGATAGTGTCAGATTCATTTTTGTGACAACACTGGGCTTTTCGATTCCTGGAGCACGAGTTGAATGATTAGGTTTTAATAGCGAGTGATTTTTAATAGCATATACTAGTCTAATTTCAGAATGTTACCATCGGAGCCAACAATAGGCTCAACAACTTTATTTCCCCTACCAACAGCAAGTATGCCAGCCTGTAGAAATGATATTCTTTCAGTAATTGATTATAATAAGAATCAGTATTTGACTATTTGTTTGAGTAAACTTTGCTTGAAAAATGTTTTGGAAAAACAATTGATTATAATTACCTTGACAGTAAAGTTGTATGAAAACAGCTAAAAGAAAAAGTGAGTTGAAACTAATAAGAAGCTACAAATTCCAGCATCTCAAAACAGATGAAAACTTATTTAAAAAAGTGGTTCTAGAAAGGGAAAAATGTCCAACAACAAGACAAAAACAGCTAAATTTTCTACTGAAGAAAACTACAAAATTAATGGTTCCCAAAAAAGGATTTCAAAACAAGCTCTTAATTTTGGCTATTGCAGGAAGGAGAGTTACAACATGAACACAAGGACTTAACGGAAAGGCATGCAAGAGAGAGGGGAAACCTGTGGAGGGTTAATGATTGCACAAAAACGGTCCACCGGAAACATCCCCAAGTTTGAAATGCTGCATAAAAAATGCATGAGATATGGCATCGCATAAAAGGAAGAACCTAATGTTTTAATAATTAAGAAATACAGTTTCCAAAAAATAAGGGTAAAATACTACCTGAAAGTGCCGCCTTGGAATTCATTGGGTTTAAGCTTTCCGCCCCTTGCCTTTTCAGCAAGTTCCTTGACCTGTTCATGTGAGAAGATATAAAACAAAATTAGGTAGAAAATGGCTACACGCACAAAATACATCAAGAAACATAATCACTGTCCATGCCAAATGAAGGGAAATTGTTGTCCAAATATACAAATAGCTGTACAGGAATGTACTCCGACGTGTCAAAAAAGTCTTGCTTGAGTTAAGTATATTGTTTTATTTTTAGTCAACTCAATCAAGGTACAATCTTTAAAAAGTTATGAATGCTTGCTAAACCTCTAACTTATCTCCAAGATCGGTTTCACAAAAATCTTGCTACAAAATTAATATTGACTTTTAAAACCGAACTATCTTTTTGGAATAAATACAGTTCTTGAAACATGACTATTCTTGGGAAATGAGTAATTGTTTCTCAATTCTGAAGATACTGATTAATTTTCATGAGTCACAATCACAATATACTTAATAATTTTATGTTCTTTCACCAATAACTAAAAAGGGGTATCCTGGTTCTTTCACCGCAACAACTTTATCGCGAAACCAATATTTCAGTTCTTACAATACAGATTAGAAAATGTTCACAGTTTGCTAGATACAATCAATCAAAGTATTTATAAGCAATCAAAGCGCTATAGCTGCATCCAAGCTATGCCCTTTATAAGTTACTAGTTACTACCTCTAAGGATATAGAAGATATCGATTTCTGATCTGCATTCCTTATAATAGGAGTCATCAATCCCTGGAAGACAAAGTAGGAAACGATATAAATTACATAATATGAGCAATGCCATTGGTAAAGAAAATAAATTGCAGTAAGTAGTATTAATGTAGTGACCTTTTCAGTAGCAACTGCAATAGATATGTCAACAGAGTCACATGACACCACTTCACCTTTTACGGCGTCCCAGTATGCTGTGATGTAAATGTTAATTTTCAGGGAAGTCAACATCAGCAGAGTATATGTAATCCTTTAACAAGATAGCAACACTTGTTTGGTTGGAATACTCTAAGAGTAAAGTGCAGCAGTGCTGTGTATTTGGTTGGGGGAGCTAGGAGGGAGCGGGTGACCATCATTACTTATTGTTATCCATAGAGATTACCACATTCATATTTACAACAAAAATTATACTAAATGTAGCATTCTAATATTTTTTTTGAAATAATATTTCCTCTCTACTCCACTTTGAAATAAACTTCAGAGTTTTTACTATTCTGTTTCCTTCCACTCCCTCTCCCCAGTTATAGACCAAACAAGAATTAAGTGTCCATACTCTAGAGGCCATAACCTAAGAAGGTTTAGTGAGAGGTGGTATTTGAATAACACCATATACGTAGTATGATATATACAATTTAACCCACCAATCCTTTGATACATGCAAAGAGAGCATTGACACAAAATTCGGAATTGTTGCATTATCAATAACTCTCCACATATTCATGATACCAGGGGCAACCCTGATGCTGGCAGGCTAGCACATACCACGGGCTACAATATTTGGGGATCCATTTTTAAATACTACCTCCGTCCCATTTCATGTGTCTTCTTTTGTTTTGGCACAATTATTAATAAAGTGGGTGAAAATATAAAAGTTGTGGTTGAGATTTGAGTATAATCAAGTGAATTGCTATGGACCACATATTTCTTTCCAAACAAGGAAATGTGACACTTATTTTGGGACAACCCAAAAAGGAAAGTAAGACAAGTAAAATGGGACTGAGGGAGTATAAGTTAAGATAGACTTATGTTTATAGTAAAATGTTCAATCTTATCTTTTTTATGTATATCTTATCTCTATTTTATCTTATCATTTTTTATCTTTTTTTATCATATCTTATCGTTTTATCTTATTATTTTCCTTCTGGATCTGATATAATGCACCGATTCATGTTAGCCGACTGCAAAATCTTATGGGACCAAGGATTGGATGTTGTTGTATGGTAAATGTTCATTGAGAATTAATGTTTCCAGAACCAAAGTTAAAATTTATATCTAGGGATTCTAGGCATTTAGTTAGTTAATTAAATGATGAGGGTATGTTCAATCTTTCGAAGTGAACCAAATAATGAACTGATGACCCTTTCAAAATTTACAGATTGACTAGTTATTGGGTAATGCTTAAATAATAACTTAATGTATTCGTGACTTTTGTAGTTTTGCACTCCTCTAGTCATTACATTACGATATTACCCTCTGTTTCGATAATCTTCTTTAAATAAAATTTATAATCAAAGTTAACTTAATTCACAAGGAAATTAATGAAAACAACCGGAAATTATAGTTCTTTATCCTTTTTATTTTATATATATTCCTTTTACCCTTTTTATCTTATCTTTTTTATCTTTAACTTATCTTTATCTTTATCTTTATCTTATCCTTTTTATCTTACCTTATCTTTTTTTCTTTCTTTCTCATCTTTCTATTCTTTTTGGCTCCGATATCATGTATCGCTTCATGTTAGCCCACCCCAAAATCTTGTGGGACCAAGGCTTTAATGTTTAGATTAACATGTGAATAGGACATTTTGTGCTACTTTTGTATTTGTAAAATTATTTAATATGTGTGTATATGGCTTAAAGTTATTTCACCTCAATGGTAGAAAGTATGTGTTTAAAACATCGCTTAATCCATTTGTTTAGGCCTTCTTTTAGCTATGCACAGGGCCTATAAAATAATATAAAAATAAAATAAAAACTTCAAATCCACTATTTTGGTTGACCATCTTTCACTTTCCACTTCAGTTAGTGAAGTTCATATAAAGGCCTTATCATTTGATCAATTTAAAACAAACATGAAACAGACATCTCCCACTTGGCCCTAGTCTTCTGCCTAGGGGCTGCCTAGCAGTTTTTAGAATACTTGTATCCTATTGATCCATTTAAAGATAAATTGCTACTTAAAATCTGTCCTAAAAATATGACCCAACTCAATCCACATTCTGCATACTCATTATGTGACTTAATTACAAGTATTGAATCATCAGGTTCACATTTAATACCTCAGAAGGTTTATGTTCACCACAACTATCCAAAACAGTTTTAAATGAAAAACAGCTTGATCAGTAAAATAATAATTTAGAGCAACAGTACCATTCGCAGCTGGAACTTTTTTTAGAGCAACAGCAACAACTTTAATCACAATATCATTAACTGAGACTCTAGTGTCATACTTCTCTGCAGAAAAAAAGTGAAAAAAATAGGATGTAGAATATATAAAATTGTTACATGAAAAGCGTAGTAGTAGATAAAGTAGCCAACAAATATACCTTTAAGCTCCTTTCTGAAGAAAATAAGAGGATCCAATATAACATCTGGTAGAAGCAAAATGATGATTTAGAAAACTTCAGGGAGCAAATGCTTTTATTTGATTTTGTTATTAATTTCCAGGATGCATTTGTTGCACAAAGTTAAGAACTTTTTGTAAACTTGCACAGTTCAATTTAATGTGAAACCTGTGGATAAATATAAATGAGGAGTGGAATACTTTGATTCCAACAGCCTTGCTGCTATCACCTGCGACCCAAAAAAAGATCTATTTCAAAACTTTGAGATTATAAGCGGCACCTATGTCTATTCCGTGATGAAAAAGCACCAGTCATATATCTAATGTATTACATATTCTGATGCTCTACAAGCAAATGAAATCAACATGTGCCCCCTACCCGTACTGCACTACTACATTATAAAAACATTGCATTACAAGAAAGTAAAACAAACATGATCTTCCCTCCTGTAGTACATTATCACACAAAACTATAGATTAGTGTTGTGCAAATTGAACGAAGTGCTAGACACCCCATGATTGAAAAACAATATATATTATCGGGTAAATATTATATGGCCAGCTAACTGGTCCTCAGTCAGCACAAAGGACATAGGCAGCAAGTTACTTTCCTGCTAAAATGATACTGTTAGAGCAAAAATACCATAACCCATTCCCCCAAAACCATAACCATAACTCATTGATTATAGTTATCATCTGATCGCATAGATATTCATCTGGCATCTAGATAATTCAATTATCTTAGAAATTCAAAACTAAAATTCTAAGACTGTTAGTTTTATTTCCTTATTTATTTGATGTTATCAATATGTATTACTATTACATAATCACTAAACTCTTGAACAGTTGAATTTTGTATAATTATTTAAAATGTATAATGTCACTAGAAAATAGAATATTCTTCAATTCTGTTATGACTTTTAAGGTCAGCTAGACAGTTTAGGCAGTCAGGATGCTACATGCAATCTAGACACCTTTTGCAACCCTGCTAAATTATCTAAAACTATGTACCTTCAAATGTCATTACTTGACTCTATGGTCTTATATCAAATAAGATGGTAGTAAGTCTTTAGGAGATGATTTAATAATCCTCTAATACTGTAAATTGACATTTTGTAGAGAAGAACAATCCACTATGCAAACAATGAGAGAAAATAAACTTTGATAATTATTAATCAGGTACAGATTTGTAGACTTGTAGTATAGGAAAAGTATTGCAAGTATAGAGTTAATTTAATATATTAAAGTACCTTGCGAATCTGACTGTTGGGAAAATCTTCATAAGAACCTGGTTGCTTCAAATCAAATTTTTGTCCTGGTGATTCTGGTGAATTAGTAAGATGGTGGGTCTGAGGTAATGAAGGCATTGCCGCTTTAACAGAGGAAATCCGGGAAGATCCTTTTCCAGACTTTATCGCAGCTAAAACGTCTCCTTTTAATAGAGTCCCACGAGGACCAGAAGCTGGAATTGATGATGCATCTAACCTGTGTTCTGAAATTAACATCTTTGCAGCAGGACTTATTCTGTTGCAGCCTTTTTTCTGCTGTCTAACTTCAATTGTAGAGTCCTGATGGATAGGCTTATCTTCCTTCACCTCCTTATAGCCACTGATAGATGATGCCTTCACAGCTACAATATCATCAGCATCCTCAACCTTGAAAATGTGAAGGCCATTAGTTATGAAAATAGCACGTATCTCATACATTCTCTCTAACTCCTGCTGTCTCTCTCTGGTCGAAGATAGCGAGTCAGCAATAAGCACTTACTGTTATTGCAATAGGCATCCCTACAGAAACATCTTTTGAGCCTTCAGGGGCCAATATTTTGGCCAAGAATCTGCATAGTCAATGTTGTTATGACTAAAATCATTGGTATAATGGTATTACTTTCGCTCAGAAATAAAAACTTGGTATTACAATGCTTTTATATGGGCATACTTGGTAATTGTGCAAAGAATATAATCATTCAATTATATGTAGTCTACAATTTGCTAGGAAAATTACCCTTCTTCAAGGCTTTCAAATTCCAGGGTTGCTTTGTCAGTTTCTATCTCACATAGAATATCACCAACCTCAATCTGCAACAGGAGAAAGTGAATGATAAAATGATATAAATGTACAAGAGAAGCATTTAAATATGCTCACCACTTCAGGTAGCAGAATGCATCTAAATATTAGATCCAGTACTCAAACACTATCTTGCACCAACCTTTTCTCCTTCCTGTTTTCTCCACTTAACAATGTTGCCTTGGTTCTGCAAGTAAAATAAAATAAAATAGCTTTCTATGAAGAATTGGTCATGTTCCATGAAGTTTATCAGTTTATCTTGATTTTACAAAATCAATAATGTAATCAGACATTATTATAGCAACCATCTCCACTCATCATAGTCTCATAATATTTCTATGGAAGTGGAAAGAACCTGTGGCGGTGACGGTTTTGTGATTTCATCTCATTATTCATTCATAAGAAGGTTTTTACAGAAAAGGCACCTGGCGTAAAACTGTAACTTGCTTTATGCATGAATTTGTAGAGTTAACTATTTTAGACAACTAATTGACACTAGAAACTTCATAAGTTCATGCCACTAATTCCACCCCCCCCCCACCCTTCACCAACTTAATTACTATTAAGTTGAACTCATGGAAAATGATGATGACCATCGGCATATAGAGAAGAGACAATATAACAGCAGTAAAGATAATATGGGTGTTGGTTGTAGATCCGGATTCACATATTGACTGATCCATCTCCATCAGATGTACAAAAACAATAAAGATAATGACAGCATAAATAAACTCCGTGCCCGTAAGCTTTTCTTACCATGGTTGGGGATAATGCTGGCATTTCAAGAACAATATGTGGAGGAAGGTCAGATGTGTTAATGCTTGCAGTAGTTGATCCAGGAACTGCATCTGCCATTAGTTGCCCAGATGCCGTATCTCCAACTTCTGAATCACCTTTTAGTGTAGCAGGTACTTTCTGTATATCATCTTCATCTTCAACCTAATTAATAAGCTAAGTCAGTATCTGGATAACCAAAAGTATCTGGGAGAATCAGATGCTAGCAGACCCAACAGTAATTATTTGAATTTGATTATGCATAGAATACCCAATGAAGTGTCTCCTCCTTTTAATTTTCTTCTCAGAAACTCATCAAAAGCTCTCCAAATGTTTTGGTACCATATTCAAAAAAGATGAAAAGTTTAAGGACCACCATTTTGAAAAGAAAAAATTCAAAAAGCCTGCCCCCAGAAAGAAATGTGGGCATGTTGGATCTATTTTCCTAAATAATGAAAATCTGTAATCCCTTCACTAAAAGGAAACATGTTCCTCAAAAAGATAACTGCAAATAAACACTTCAGTGGACTTCAGTTAGTGACTCAACCCTGTAAACTTCATGCTTAAGTTTATGCGTGTTTAGACATTGTAATCTTTAATTACAAACCACAGGTATGTATAATTGACTCAACAATATAAACCTCATGCCTAAGTTTATGTTCATTTAGACATTGTACTCTTTTTTCAAAATGTGCAGTTCTGTATACCTTTACACCATTCATCATCATCATTACCTCAGTGCCGCAAAGGCTCCCACCTAATGGTGTATACCTTTACACCATTAATTAACTTAATTCAGAGAACATAATATGCGAACTACCAGAACACATTGGCATATGTTTAAGGATAAATCTGTACATATATACCACATGCTTTTAATATTTAGATGTCCTGTTTTCTCATATACTTTCTAATTCCCTTGCAATAAATTTAGCAGTTGGAAATGCGTTAATGTAAATTGTAAAGTATCAATTATTCAATAGGGTGGAGAGAATGGATATTTAGGCACTCCATAAGACCATTATATAATTAGATAATAATTGTAGAACCTGAAAGCTCCTGAATAGTATCTGAGTACTATTGCAATCTTTTGACCTACTCTAAGAAACCTTCCTTAAGAAACTTGAGGTTCTCATTCTAAATAGTGAATATTAGTACAAAAAAATCTTTACCATTTTGAGATTGAGATTCTGGAGAGTAGTGGAAGTGTTTTTTCCTTTGAATATGTGCGTTTAAATGTCATAAAATTACTGCATTGTGTTACTTTTTTCAGAATAAGTTTACTTTTTAATTTCAGAGTGTAGTCCAATGTTATCAAATAGACTCCAAAAACAAGTAATCAAATAGACTCCAAAAACAAGTAAATGGGACAACCCTTTTGGGCTCAAAACAGTATGATAATTAGATTAAATGAAAAAGAACACAAGACACAAATGCCACATGGTAGGAAAAAACATTAACCAATAACAGAACACTTCTCTTTTCCTTTTCTTTTGGGTACAAAACACGAGAAACATAAGTCCATTTAATGGCCAATTTTCCATTAAATAAACTGCACACTTCTAATGGAATAAACTACCATACTTCTTAATATAATACTTCCATAAAATATTTAACGCCATGGAATAGAAAAAATAAGAAATCACTATTGGTGCGGAATGCTAGCAGAAGGTTGCCATCGATGGAAGGGATCAAAGAGAATTTTGATGTTTGTAAACATAAAGTCACATGGAGTGCTATAAAAACTATAACTACAGAGAGAAATGAAAAAAGAAGACAGTCAAGCATTACCGTTATGGCTATGGGCTGACCGACATGCACATCCTTTGTTCCTTCAGGCATCAGTATCTTTGCCAGAAATCTGTAGAGTTCCAATGGGGCATCCAAGAAGTACATAGTATGAAATGAGAATGTATGTGTTATATTTTAAGCTGTATACAAATGTAACATAAAAACATTTCACATGGAGCATTGGGTAAGAACAACGTATCAATGTATCAAAAACTATCAGTAAGCTTACAAGTATATGGATTTTTTGTAGAAAACAAATGAGAACATGTTTCTAATAGTATGCATGCACAGTGATACGGTAGTCGATTGTATGTCTTAAATAGATATGCATTTCGAACACATACCCTTCCTCAAGACTTTCAAACTCAAGTGTAGCCTTGTCAGTCTCTATCTCACACAAGACATCCCCCGCTTCTATCTGTTAGATCGCATCATTGTTAAACAGAATGTTGAGACATGGAAGAAATCTCTCAGGCTATTAGAAACGCACCTTGTCCCCTTCTTTCTTCCTCCACTTAACAATATTCCCTTGATTCTGCAAAGAGAAAAATAAGCATGACATTGTTTCCATTAAGCAGATCAAAGCCACTATAAAGCAGCTTACCATTGTAGGTGATAGAGCTGGCATTGTTAAAACAGTATGGAGAGGATTTTCTGCACCATATACAGACACATAAACATGAGTTGCATTCAACAAGCCAAAGTCACAGTATCAAAACACCAGCAAATTGAAGAATTGTTCAAGAAGAATAGAATAACTAGAGGCACAAAATTTTGCAAGTGGTAAACTGGTAACTGGTAAACTAAGAAGGTCCAGACATGTAGGTGAGAGGATTAATGTTTAAGAGAGTGAGGCAGCAGTCCATCCATCAACATTCATCAATTCCATTCATTTAGAATGAAGAAAAGAGAATACATGTAGCCTAGCCATGGTAAAGGTGTTATGATAAAAGAATACCAGGTGCCGTAGCTCACCTCGTAGGAAGGGAGTGCCACAAGGGAGAGGTCCCGGGTTCAACTCCGAGCAATGACTTGGGACAGAACCCCACTCTCTTTCCATCAGAGAAAGATCAAAGCTCAACTTACATCCTCCCAAATAACTGTCCGGTTGGTTCTGGGAGGCCCTCAAGGATGGGGTGTCATCTTTTTTTTTGTAAAAGAATTATGTGGGCCATTCTTATTTCTCACTAGGTTAATGGGGAACAAGGAAGCAGATGAAGTGAAAAGGAAACATGTGAAATAATTGAATAGTCTATGGAGTAAAAAAACAAGAAACTGAATTTACCAAAAAATGTGTCCATCTATAATTAGATGTTATAGTAAGAACACAAGAATTGGTGATCAATACAATACAACAAACACAAGAAAAAAACATGCATGACATATATGAGTGTTTCTTACCCGCTGACGAGAAACATCTGACGCCACTTGGTAGCTGCAGTATAGCATCACTCATCAGAGAAAAGATGAAGGAATGAAAATTGAGAGGAAACAGAAAAGTTACTTACTCTAACCATTAACTTGGATGAATTGTGATCAACTCCATTGAACATAAGAAAATGTATAGGCCTGAAAATTTTCACAATAAGAGGAACAACATGGAATCAACAAGTGACCACTCCATCGAACAAGACTTAAGTGATTCAGCTTTGTAAAGCTGAAAGGCACACACACCTTAATTAATAGAGATAAGAAGCACTTTATCCTTTTCTCACTGATGTATATTATTATGCCCCACTAAAACTAGATACCCAAAAAAAGGGAAAAGTACGGAAAAGGTACGTGTGGTTGGGTCCATTTTTAGATAGGGTCATGTGTTTCATTCTTTATCAAAGTAGTTCATGTGTTTGAATTCCGTTATCACAAGAGGGTCACGCCGTTAAAAACGTCTGAAAAAGACCGTTAAAAGTAACTCCGATTTTCAAAAGTGCCCGAAAAAATTAAAGAAAATTACCGAAAGGTGCGCCTCGTCAAGATGACCTCCAAACCACCTTCGCCTTTGGATTTTTCAGATCTGTTTGAATTATTGTTTAAAAATGATTTCGCTAATATCACTTTTCCGATGGACTCTCCGGTGACAAGGGTGGCTGAAAACAAAAAACAAAGATGGCCTAGCGGTCGTCTTATTGAGGCGCACCTTCCGGTATTTTTCTTTTAATTTTTCGGGCACTTTTGAAAATCAGGGTTACTTTTAACAGTCTTTTTGAGACATTTTTAACGGTGTGGCTCTCTTGTGATAACGGATTTCAAACACATGAACCACTTTGATAAAGAATGAAACACATGACCCTATCTGAAAACGGGCTCAACCAGAAGTACCTTTTCCGTACTTTTCCCAAAAAAAATTACACCAAAACTCATATGAATGTCAGCTATCCACCTATTACAAGAATACTCTTTCCTTCAAATTCCGATCATAGCAGAAAATTTGTCTTATACAAAATTTGGCTATTTTGTGACTCACAATCATTCTTACTTATACCAATTCAATGTCAACCACACAATTCTACTTTCTCTTCACATTTGTGTCCAACTTCATATTGCCAAGCTTAATGGGTCGGATGTAGTATTGATTACCAGTTTTCATTTAGTAGAAATGATGTGTGTGTGCATGTGTTGTGTGTGCATGTGTTGTGTGTGCGTATTGTGAATCATATAAAAATGCTTGTTATGTGAGAAATGAGTACAAATATGAACCTCTTCCAATGATAAAGTGATCGATCGGCTGATAAAGTGAACATGCTACTACATAAAAGTGATTAATGAGAGCTGAAATGGACACATTAAGTGACCAAATGGCTCAAAACACCATGGCAGAGATTTTTACATGAAATTGATAATTTGACTGCACAAAGCTGCAAATCTATACTAATGTTAAAGTGTACCATCCCGCATGTTTCAAGTTCGCATAAGAAAATCCGTTTACACATTGGGGTGTGTCTGTGTGTGAGTATGTGTATGCATAACAGACCAAGAAAGTAGTACGGTTGTATGTAATTATGTATCAATGTACTTATGTATAATGAATCATGTGAAAATCAATGTTAATGTATGGAATGAAAAATAACCTGACCATTCATATCAAGGCATGAAGTGACTTAGAATAGACTTCCATTGAAGGATGGAAATTGCTCTAATCTATGGAACTTCAAAGAGCACATTTTAATACTCCCTCCGTCCCATAAAATAAGTCCCATTTTCCTTTTTGGGCCATCCCAAAAAATTGTTCCCATTTCCCTTTTTGGAAAGTTTTGTGTGGCTAACATTCATTTACCTTTTTCTTACTCAACCACAACCATACATTTCCACTTTATTCCCACTTTCTTAAACTCCGATCCAAGTCAAAGTGGGACTAATTTTCCGGGACGGAGGGAGTACAAAAAAGTTCATTTACATAAAAAGCGCATGTTAAACTAACAGTTGATCCACTTCTACGTGTTGCATGATGCTCTTTTTCTTTTTCACCTTTACACAATAAGACTGTTCATAAATGAACTCAACCATGTGCGTGCATGCAGACACCACTACCAACTTATGCCTAAAGGAACACAACCCCTAATCTAAAACATAAATATCTAACACTGAACGAACTGCATTAAAGTCTACCAGAGAAATAAAAAAGACAAACTTTTTAGAATAAAAAGAGAGTTTGAGCATGCAGACCTTGAGGAAGTAACTTCTGGAATATGATTTAGTGCCTCAGAACTGCTATATTTGCAAAGAACAGGACATAAAAAACATCCACATAAGAAATGCATTGTGAGCACCACAATGAAGTGATGAACATTAAAAGATGATGAACTAATATTTAATCAAGATACTATGAACTAGCAATTCATTTCCTGTATCTGGCAATTGGTTAAAGAACGAGAATGGTCTATGATCTATCAATGTAGGATGTCAAATGAATAAACCCGGGCTCCCAAACTGCTAAGAGCCTAAGACTACATTAGCCGAAATGACTAGGATATCATGGATGGTATTGTTTTCTTCTAGTTTGTGGCTAAAGAAGTTGTGGTTCACCAATGCTCAAGAATTGCAAGTTAGTATTTCATCTTTTATGTATGCCTTTATCATTTACAATGATGTTTCAATCTCTACTTTTATCCCTCCCTAGTCACATTCTCACATGAATCCCTAACACTACTTTTTACACTACCTAGAAACCTGTACTACTAAAGTGATCAGTGTAATACTCCCACCATTGTTACTGAGCACCTTTCCCTTGCTTACCTCACCAATATCATTTTAGCTGAAAGATTTAAGCTTTGGTACTAGGACCCTAATGTCCTCTTAATACGTAGAAGTTCAAATCAATGCCATACAATCTTCTTTTAGTTACTTCATTGAAGTAAACCAATAGGCTAAACCGATCAGGAATGGTAAGAGAGCTTGTTTTAATTATGAACGAAAAAACACCTGATAAAGAATCATTACATATGCAAATGAAATACCGTTAATGGTTACTGGCATTGAAAACCTTAGTCATTGCAAATTCGCACAATCAATTTTTTAGCAAAAATCATTCATTTTTCAATGCAAACTCAATCCATGATCCAGACCTGTATATGTACAGAGAGGGAGAGAGGGAGGACGAAAGGAGGCGAGCTCTGATGAGGGAAGGCGCTCGACGGATAATGGGATGACGAAGCCTGGAGAGCGCCATGGATCATCTACTGATTGAAATCTTTGTCTGTAGGAAAGCTGTAGGCTTTTTGGAGGCGGGATGCAGATTCAAGTTTTGACTTGAGATTAAAAGGATTGGGATGGTAGAAGAAGACGAGAATAGGGAGCTGCAAGAACCCAGGCTTGTGTTGGCCGCCACGGCGGTCGGCGCAGCAGTCGCTGAGTGCGTTGGTTGTTAGTCAGGAATCAGGATGAATGCTAACAACCAAAATTCTTATGAAGAATATAACCTCGAGTATTCAAGTTGTTCTAGGTGAGAGGGGGCCGTGAGCATCGAGTAGGTAAGATTAAATCGTTTAAATTTTAATTTATAAAATGGACTTCAGCAGTAAATGTGTTTTACCAACTCACATTACTCCATCCAATAATTATTTTCTCACCTTTCATATATTAAAGAGGTAAATTATGTGTAAGGAAAATTTAAATTGAGGAAAGTCGTTATATAATTCACGTGTATATAAAATGTAACTTGAGATAAATTGAAATATAAATATACATGTACGCAAATTTTGTTGGAAAAACGGTTTTATAAATTAATATTTTGGTCACTTTTGATCTAAAATATGTAAATGATTGACTTCTCATTTTTAATGGGATTAAGTCCTAACATTTTGTTACACCATGATGTAAACGTTTTCATAGGTTATTTTTAGAAAATCATTTTGAAATGAATGAGAAATTGCATGTTACCTACAAATTCTCTCTGAAATAAGGTTTGTGTAGGACTTGTACCACATTGGAAATCATAAACAATATTGAAGGCTTTTTATAACTCAAATATTTATATTCCAAGGGGCACCCAAATTTTGTAAGGAGGGAAGATCCGAACACGGTATGCGTGGAGTTAGACTTCATGCGTGCCTTTAAGATGTAAACATGTTTTTTGTATAATTAATTTCGGATAAGGCAACATTTGGGAGAATGGTTGCTACCTTTCTCTAAACAGACCGGTGCCAAAATTAACAACTTTTTCATCATTTTCCTCAGTGATATTTCTTTATTTGATACCTTTACTCTTGTTCACAGTATTTATGTTGCCAAATGTTGTCCTAACCAAAGTCTTATACATTCCCCATCTCAATGTCAATCTCTTGTCTGTGAGCAAACTACATCTAAAACCTCCTCGACTCTTACCTTCTTCTTACAATGTTGTTTCTAGCTTATGGCATCAAAGATTAGGCCATGTTTCTGATTTAAAGTTCAAATATTGAAAGATGTACCGTAACTTTTTTATCTCAATAATAAAGAATGTAATGTCTGCCCCATGGTCAAACAACACCGATTGTGTTTTCTTACTAGTTCAATAAAAATAGAAAAGTCATTTGATCTTATTCATTGTGATGTTTGAGGACCCTTCTCTACTTGTACATATGATGGTTTTAAGTATTTTTATCACTGTAGATGACTTTTAACATAATATTCCACTCTCATCAAAATCATTAGGACTGATAATGGAACCAAATTTCTTCTTTCAGATTTCTATTCTAAAGAAGGTGTTATCCATCAAACCACGTGTAATTATAATCCACAACAAAATGGAGTCATTGAACATATACATCAAACCTTATTACACATTGCTAGAGCACTGAGATTTCAAGCACACCATCCTTCGCCATTTTTGGGTGACTGCATTCTTACTACAGCTGACTTGAACAATAGATTGCCTACCCTTGTGTTGAGAAATAAATCTCCATTTGAAGTTATCTATTATAAAATGCCTAATTATTCCACTCTTGAAACCTTTGGTTGTCTTTGTTTTGCATCCAACCTTATTGGATATAAAGACATGTTTAAATCAAGGTCAAGAAAGTGCATTTTCATTGGATATCCTCCTAATGTCAAAGGATATAAAGTGTTTGATCTTGAAACCTATCAAACATTCATTCCCAAGGATCTCATATTTCATGAATCCATATTTCCATATGTTAATCTATGTTTCAAAAATGATGACACTGTTATTCCTACTTCCATTCTTGACATTATCAATCATCCTACATCTTCAATTTTCACATAATTCAATTCTTCTCCCTCACATAATACAATCCCAAGTATTCCACATTTAGATTATATATCTCATTTGGTTCCAACTCGACCTCTTAGATCCAGAAAGCTTCCTTCTCATCTCCCTGACTATGTAAGTATTAATTTTCGGTTTGGTTCGCTTTGGTTTGGTTAAATCAAACAATTTTGCCCAACCCAAACATAATTCATAAACTTCTAATAGGCTGACTACTAACTCTCAAGATATTTAGAAAAAATATTTAGTTGGGGGACACTTTTATTGTCGCATGAAGCATTAGTTAAGAAGATATTACCTTAAATAGGAGTAAAACAATAAAGAAGTTCCAAAGTAGGATTTCTTATTGATTTATTCCCTAAATATGAGCTTTTAGTTGACTACCCATTTCTTTTTACGGATTTACCATCACATCTGTCACACACAAATATCTCTTCGCACAATTATCTCTTCCTCCGGCCATTAGCTGCCACCCACTCAACAAATATCTCCTTCCCAATGCAACGTAACTTTTCCAACATCCATTAACTGTCACCCATTCAACAAGTATATCTTTCCCAATGCAACGTAACTTTTCCTTCCATTCGACCATATGCCTCATCTCTCACCTATCTTCTTTATCAATTGCATTTTTGCAAAATTGAACTTCTCTTTCTCGAGGATTTCAAAGGTGGAGACGGTACTCCCCATCTCCGGCGGCCAACTCTTCTGCACAGTGACTCCGACCATGTGTAGTAACTTCGACGATATACCGGTCTTCTTCAGTATGTATCATCCTCCTCCTCTCCATCTTCTTCCTCTCCATCCTCCATCTTCTTCCCCTACATCCTCACTCCTCTGTTTTCTTCTCTTGATGTATTTGCTATTTTCTATTGTTTCAAATGTTTAATTTTTACATTCAAATTGAAAGTTATGCTACTTTAAACAAGTAACTTTTGGATTGAAAGTTTTGAGGCTCCAAAATTACTTATATCAAGATTTTGGATCTTTTTAAAAAAATATTCCGATTTTGCTATTTTAAAAATATAGCATAATTTTGTTTTTCTTATATGCCATTTTAAGATGGCAATGAAATGCCATGTTTTTGGTAATTAATGCCATCAAAAAGTTAAAATATCATGTTTTTGACAATTAGTGGCATGCTATATGTCATTAATGGAAAAGTCCTTAAGATGGCACTATAGCTTGACTTTTGTATTTTTGAAAGCATTGCATTCAAATGACATTTCACTATAGTTGTCCTCCAAAAACAGAGATCTACACATCAATCACGTCGGAGGAGGCGGAGGCCTGGTGCTAGAAGACATGGCTTCCACATTGTATAATGAGGTGGTGCAAAGTGAGGATGACAACGCTGAATGAGGACGGTGGTGCTGCCAGATGAGGTGGCAGTGGTGATGCCGGACGCGGCAGAGTCGGAAATGGAGATAGTCGGCAACCGGCGGCGGAGGCATCAGTTAGCAGTGGTGCAGTAGCCGACTGCGGTGGAAACTGACGACGACGGCGGCAACTGAGGTGGCGTCGGGACTGGTGCATGCGGCAACTTGTTGTGGGGTGGTGGTCGTGCAGGAGTAATGTGTACAACTTCTATTTCATTATTATTCTATTTTATATTTTTAGAAAAAGATACAGGGTATTATATTTGGGCTTTCATTCAGGGTAATTCTGTCAACTCATAATGTGTACAACTTTTATTTCATTAGTATTCTATTTCAGATTTTTAGAAAAAGATACGGATTATTATATTTGGGCTTTCATTAGGCAAATTATATCCTACACCCGGGTGTATAGATACACCCGGTATTTTTGTAAATAAACCAACTTCAATCCTAGTCAGCATTCTCTTCCGCAGCCATTCTCGCTCGCCATTCTCTTCCTTTTTTCTTTCCGCCGACTTTGTATATTTTTTCCTTCCCTGTCATCGTTTTTTCTTCCGCCGACATCATCTTTTGTTTCTTTCCTTCCCAGCCATCCTCGTTTCTTCCACGGTCATCATCTTTTGTTTCTCTCCTCCCCTTCCATCATCTTTTCTTCTACAGCCGTCCATTCTTATTGTTATCTTTTACTTTTGTCTTTTTGTTATGTTTTTTTATTTCACTTTCTTTTGTTTTGTCTTTTTTGTACTTCTTTTCCTTTCTTTATTTGTTGTTTACTTCTTTTCGTATTTATATATATTATACCGAGCACATTAGAAATGAGTTTTACCTTAAACTCAAATGAGTAAAATGCGTAAAAAAATGAACATACATAAATGAGCTTTTGAATTTTTGAATACTCATTTTGTAAATAATGTATATTCATATAGTATCTCTGTTTTGCTCATTTTTAAAATGTTTTAGCAATGCGCATTTCAAAAGTCTCATATTAGCAATGCTCGTTTAATAGAATTCATGATTTTCATCAATCTCAATAGACGATGTTTGATATGTATGCTCATGTGATACTGATCATATGCTCATTTTATAAATGTCATATCAATGCATTTTAAAAGTACCACGGAGTATTTTATATTAGACTCCTAATACTCAATATAATAGGTCTGATGCTCATTAAAAATTCATTATTACTCATTATCCAGAAGTCGTGATTTTCATCACAATAGTGGAGGTTGATGCTCATTTAAAATGTCATGATTTTCAACTAACAAACCTTACAATTTTCATATAATGTGCACTTTGTAAGTTATGTATGCTCATTTTGTACTAATGTTATGCTCATTTTTAAAATGTCATATCAATGCATGTTCCAAAAGTATCATATTACATTAGACTCGCATATTGAAATTAATAGGAGTAGATTATAGATATATTTTAATAAGTTTTTATAAAAGAAAAAATAACAAAAAAAGAAAAAGAATTAGAAGATGTGAAGCAGAGATCGTGATACTCATTATTAGCCTTCTAATACTCAATAAAATAGGTCAAATGCTCATTAAAAGTACATTATTGTTCATTTAGCAGGAGACGTGATTTTTCGCTTAATTACAAAAATGTCACCGTTAAAATAATTGGCCCCTTTGCTTGTTTTCCACTCCGGACCTGTTGTTTATGGCTTTGCTCGTTAATTATTGTGGGCCTCCATTATATTCATTAAATTTCATTTAAATTGGGCTGAAGCTTTAAAAAATTAAAAAAATACCCGGATGTACGGTTCCCACCCGTTCACCCGGATGTAGTATATATGAACCACTTTCATTAAGGGTAATTTTGTCAACTTGTGTCTTTTA